ATTAGAATTAAGTATAAATAAAGTTAATGTCAATTATATTTTAACTAAAGAATTATTAAATCAATTACATTTTTCACCTTAAAACTATTTATGATACCTTGATCACAAGGTTAGAGATATGCAGTGGTGTTTGGAAGAAGAGATTAAATGGTAATGTTAGTCAGGCAGGTGGTTTCATAAAGAGCATATGTAAAGCATTATCTACAAGAAGGATAATTTTCCAATTTTGTCTTCTCATTTTTGTATTGAGTTTTTTTATGTAATCATTTCAGATTGAAACCTGCATTTAACTTTTTTAGTTCTAATAGTATTCAACTAAAAGCGTTTTTTATCAATATTCTTGATAACTCTAGGATTTTCATACTTGTGTATGAATAAAGGCATCAGTTTTTCACTTCCATTGCATTATATGTAAGTAGAATTATTACATAATCCTTTGATTGTTTCTTTTCTGATATTTGTTCGCTAAATATCGTTTAACATGGTTATATCTTTCAAAACAGTTCTATTTTATCATAATTGAATATATCTTCAGGACTATATTCTTTTAATATTTGCCAAAGATTCTCTCTCATTATTTTGAGATCTTTAAGTAATACACTTGTGGCTTCTCTATATATAACTTACTATTTAAGGTTATGTTATTTTTTAAAGTTATCCACCCAACTACTAGACCCTTTAAACTTATTTTTTTTTAATAAAAAAATAAAACTCAAGGCTTTTGTTGAAAAAATATCGTCAGTAATAATGAGGCTAACTTTGAGTACGTTATCTACCCATATTATTAACGCTTTTTTAATGAGAGGGAATGAAGTTTTCTTATCACATTTCAAATTAGCTTGATATGAATTGGTATTCACAGAAAGCTAACGATCTTTCTCTTTTAAAATGTCACTTATCATGCCTTCACTAACGTCATATTTATTAGCTAAGTCTTTTTATTTTAAAAAAGGTGATGATATTTTTTTCAAATAAAGTTTTTTTTTTGTACAGTTATAAGAGACTTTCATTTTTTTTAAAGGTTCATCTTGTTTATTAGTAGGTTGATTAAGTTATTTCTTTGAGTTTACTTTTAGCATTATTGGCATTATGTAAAGAAAAAAAACGTGTAAAAAATAAAATATGTAAAAAAAAAATATGAAACACAAGATATAACATGTAATACGAATATTTCACACAATTTCACAATCCTGCTCCATACATAAAAATTATAAAATATGGTAAATTTGTACCATTGCTTTATTAATCAAATTATCTGAGAATATTCATATCGCTTATATATTCCTTCTACTATCTTCTTATACCTTTTGCAATACAGATGTGAGTGATAATCACATTTCTTACAAACCTTATATTTATGCTTCTATTTCTTAAATATATACCATTTTTCAAAGTAGTTTTGTGCCTTCCAGCTTTTTATAAACTGTATTATTCTGATTGTTTGTTAATATGATATATAAGTATTAATATAGTCAAAAAAATTCTTGTATAACCAAAATTTCATTTATCTTAAGATTTACACAGTCCTATTATTTCAGTAATAAATGAGTAATGATTACATATTTTTTCAGGTGATTGAGTTCACATAACCAGTCTATGCTATAATTGCAAATTTGAGTTTATTGTTTGAAGTGTTACAGGTAAGACAATATTCTTTTAATGTATATTAGAAGAAATACAACTTTGCTAATTCAGGATCATAAGGAAATTAATTCTCATTTTTATGGTACTATTATATAATCCATAATTTTCATGTTTTCTATTACAAATAGGACATGATAAGCTTCACAGCTGAGATGATGCAAAATTATAATTATTAATTCTCTAAGACTATTTCAGAATTTCAAGTATGGGAAGTGCTCTAAAATTGATTTGATAATTAATTCTGGATTAGGTTTGACTTCAAAAATAATAGGCTTTTTTTTCATATTGCTCAGAAAAAGATAAATAGGATACTTTATTTTCTAACTTCAAATTTATGAGAAGGCTGACTTCTGATGCATACATTTCTGATAATTGTTATGGCTTATACCCAGTTTCTTTTTTATATTTTTTGTATAAGCTGAACTGAATTCTATCTATCAAAACACTAGTTAACCCAGTTAATTTAGCATACTAATCCAGGTATTTGGAAGGTAATATTTTATCAGACTTGATCATGTTTAAATTTTATATGATTGTGAATCAGTTTAAATCCCTTTTATTCTCATATTCATTCAAAAAAAAAGATTAAAATTTCCTGATAAAAAGCTTACTAATATTTTTTATCATATTTTCAAGAAAATAGTTAGGCTATCTTTCGAAGTATCTATGATATAAGAAAGGGCAATAAGACTATGCAACTATTTCAATTTCATGCTATTCACATTTAATAAAATAGGATCTGACTTCATATTTACCTTCTATATTTTCCTCATCATTATAATCTAACTTGCATAATAAATATGAAATCTCATCAGTAATTTCATAATAATCAACATTTTTACTACTAAATTCTTTATATAAATTAGGATATTGATCTAATGCTTTATTGCGAAAATAGGTGCAGTCATAGGTTGGCTGAGATGCATCAGTTTATTAGTTTTTAAAGTCACGTGTTCATTTCAATTTAGAATGGAATCATCATAATCTATATCATCTGTATTAATAGCTTTTGGAAAAAATCATTTATAATGTCCTGAATCTTATTATCAGATAAATTTAAGATAACACTTGCATTACAGCTAATTATTTAGATTTTATTTATTCCTATCCCATCAAATAATATATAGATTTTTTTAATTCTGAAAGTTATTTTACGCAAATTTACATTAGTAATGTTGGGAAAAAAAGGTTTGATTTTGTTATACACTAATGTTCTTACTGATTTGTTATCAATACCATTCTTAGACTTAATATCTCTAACTCGATTCTCATATATCTTATAGTAGTGTTCCGCACAGATTTGGATCGATCTGAATCTAATCTAAATCTGACAGATTAGATTCAGATCAGATCTGTCAGATTCAGATCTAATTCAGATTCAGATCAGATCAGATCCATCAGATTCGAATACAGATTTGGATCTGATCTGTTAGATTCAGATTCAGATTCAGATCTGATTCATCAGATCTGAATTCAACTTTTTTAAAGCTGAAAAGTTCCTTTTCAATGAAAAAGGACGAATTTTCGGACTTCTTTAGAGCTGAATATTTGTTTCCTTTCATTAAAAAGAAAGGAATTTTCAGATTTCTTTTAGAACTGAAAAGTTCCTTTCATTGAAAAGAAACCAATTTTCAGATCTTTTTTAGAGCTGAAAAGTTTCTTTCATTGAAAGGGAACGAATTTTCAGACTTCTTTAAAGTTGAATATTTGTTTCCTTTCATTGAAAAGGAACAAATTTTTGGATCTCGTTTAGAACTGAAAAGTTTCTTTTATTGAAAAGGAACGAATTTTCGGATTTCTTTTAGAACTGAAAAGTTCCTTTCATTGAAAAGAAACATTTTCAAATTTCATTTAGAACTGAAAATTCGTTTTTTCAATAAAGCTTTCAGATTTGGATTGGATCAGATTTGGATTTAAACTGATCTATCAGATTCAGATTTGAAATTCGATCCATCAATTTTAGATCAGATCTGGATTTCAACGGATTTGTCAAATTCGGATTAGATTCAGATCCTGAAAAATGAAAATCAGATCGGATCAGATTTGGATAAAATCTAATCTGATCTGATTTTATGAAATACTACCTTATAGTAACAATACTAGTATAAGATCTCCTTTCGACTGACCTTCATTGCTATATTAAATAGATTAACTATGATTTGTGATGTAACTTTATTAGATCCTGTCAGAATTGCTTCTAAAGAGAATTCAGGAATTTGTATATCAAATATTTTATTTCTGTAAAGTAGATCTATTTAAGCAGTTAACTTATCTCTCAAGTCTTGTTCTACTTTCAAATTATAGGGAATTTTTCCCACCTTTTCATCACATTTGAAGCTAAAAGAAATATTATAAAATTTAGATGATGGATTGTTATTAGAATTTTCTGAAACTTAAGTATTCTTCTTATTTCACAAAATCTCTGATTGAGAAAAAGAAGGATAATCCTATCCATTTTTTCATTTAAAAGAATGACAGAATCTAAAGAAGTTATGAGTATTTCTGAATCTGGTTCTCTTTAAGAAGTTATCTTTGGTAACAAATTATCTTAAAGTATTTCTTTTGTTTTCTTTGCCTAATCTTATCACCAATCTTCTTTTTATACACTGCATTTAAGAATTCATCAGTCTCCCTATTTTCTTCACAAAATGAAGGGCTGGTAGACACATTACTTCTAGTACTGTATTATTTATTTTACTATCAGGTTTACACTACTCAAGCTGGGTTTGCTTCTGACAAATATTATATACATCAGTTATCTCTAGTAATACTTCTGATATCGGTGTTTGCTTAAGCAAATAATCATCTATTATCTTATCCTCTGTTAACTTGATATCAACATTATTTTGCTGGTCTACTACAAATTCAAATACATCAACAGCTGATACAAATACTTCTGGTAACTCCTCTAATATTATTTCATTATCATTCTATAATTGTCTATTCATTATCAAGAAAACCTGTTCTAATGATACAAGTCTGACCTCAAGCTCTGTATTTTTTTGCTCTAGTTCTTTGACCCTAATATTACGCCTGGTATTCTCCTCAATAATCTGATTCAGCTTTACAATCTCAGCCTTGAACTCATAATTCTTGACCACAAGTCTGGCATTTTCTTGCTTAAGTAAGTCAATTTCAGATTCTATCTTTGATAACACTAGAGTTCTGAATGAGTCAAGTCGAGTCGAGTTTGAAGATCAACTCTATTTGACTCTCTTTTTTCAAGTTGAGTTGAGTCAAATTTATTTTATAAAATCTTTCAATTTGATTTAATTCGAATTATATAAATTTTAAACTCGACTCAATTTGACTTGACTCAATTTTAACTTGATTCGATTTTGAAAAAAAAAAATAATAAAAAAAATGAAAAGATCGGGAAGAGAAGGGGAAAGTGAATAATTCAGGTCATTGTTCTTCTTGAACAATTTTTTTTATTATTCAAGTTGAACAATTTGGATTATTATTCTTCTTAAACGATTTTTTTATCGTTTAAGTTGAACAATTTGGGTTATTGTTCTTTTTGAACGATTTTTTTTATCGTTCAAGTCAAACAATTCATCATCATTCTTCTTAAATGATTTTTTATCATTCAAGTTGAACGATTTTTTATCGTTCAAGTTGAATGATTTTTTATCATTCAAGTTGAATGATTTGGGTCATCATTCTTCTTGAACAATTTTTTTATCGTTCAAGTCAAACGATTTGTCATTGTTCTTCTTGAATGATTTTTTTATCGTTCAAATCAAACAATTTCTTATCATTCTTCTTAAATGATTTTTTTATCGTTTAAGTCAAACGATTTCTTATCGTTCTTCTTGAATGATTTTTTTATCATTTAAGTCAAACGATTTCTTATCATTCTTCTTGAATGATTTTTTTATCGTTCAAGTCAAATGATTTCTTATTGTTCTTTTTGAATAATTTTTTATCGTTTAAGTTGAATGATTTCTAATCGTTCTTCTTAAACGATTTTTTTATTGTTTAAGTCAAATGATTTCTTATTGTTCTTCTTGAATGATTTTTTTATCATTCAAGTCAAACGATTTCTTATCATTCTTCTTGAATGATTTTTTTATTGTTCAAGTTGAATGATTTTTAATCGTTCTTCTTGAACAATTTTTTTATTGTTCAAGTTGAACGATTTCTAATCGTTCTTCTTGAATGATTTTTTTATTATTCAAGTTGAACGATTTCTTATTATTCTTTTTGAACAATTTTTTTATCGTTCAAATTGAATGATTTCTTATCGTTCTTCTTGAACAATTTTTTTATTGTTCAAGTCAAACGATTTCTTATCATTCTTCTTGAATGATTTTTTTATTGTTCAAATCGAATGATTTTTTATCATTCTTCTTGAATGATTTTTTTATCATTCAAGTTGAACGATTTTTTATTGTTCTTCTTGAATGATTTTTTTATCATTCAAGTTGAACAATTTTTTATTGTTCTTCTTAGAATGATTTTTTATCATTCAAGTCAACTTAAGTCAACTCAAGTCAACTCAATTCAAGTCAAATTTAAATCGAGTCAAGTTAAATATTTAATTCAACTTGAATTTGGTTTGACTCGCAAATCATCAAGTCAAAAAAATATAAACTCAACTTGAACTCAACTTAGCTTATCTGACTTGTGAGTTAACTTGACTCATCCAGAACTCTAGATAACACTTTTATACAAACATTCAAAATAAAAAAAGTCATATGTCCATTTCAATTTGAAATGCTGATCTCTTTTGCTAAGAAAAATTTTTTATTAATAGAGTTTACAATCATCATATAAGTAAACACTTGACTTAAGTTAAAGAACTTATTTATTGTCTCTCTCTTTTGAGGTGATGATTAATTTTTTTGGCATGCTTAAAGCAATAGTTCATATAAGATAATGTAGGTTTATCACATATTCTACATAAAGATTTTAGCATATATTTGCATCTGATTTCTAGTGAAGTGAGCATCCTACCAAGCGAATGCAAACATAATTACAAATACTTCCATCTTTTTAATGTGAGAACAGATAAGGTAATCTATTTATTATATTCTTATACCTTTCATATTATAGAATTTGAATTTCAAAATGAGAAAATCCTAATTGAACTGTAGTGGAAAAAGTATATCATAAATGATTAATCATATATCACAGCATAAATTATTATCTATGAATGCAAAAAAAATAATATTTAATATTCTAACTAGTTGATAGATTGATCTAAACAGAAAGCTATTCTAAAAGTTGATTCGTGAAGGCTATAAATAAATATATTGATAAACTTTCAGATTATTTAGAAAATATTAGAATCATATATGTAGGTGAATTTGAACTGGATCCCTTAGCTAACTTTTACTATCCAGTCTTAATTTCACCTTTGTTTTAGCTAATAGAGCAGATATTCGTAAAAACTTTCCTATTAGTGTAGAATCTGCAGTTGTAGGAGAAATAAGTTTATTCACCCTTGAAAAAAATAAACAATTCTCGCTTTAGAATCTAATCTGAATTAATTATTCTAATAATAACTTGATCACACTAATAGGAATAACTTGAGAGTAAAAAGAGATGAAAACTTGGAAGAATGAGATATTTATGAAATTTTTCTATAATTTGAATTTAATATTTTTAAGATATAAATCAAATGCATTATATAATACATTTATAAAAACAGATATTTTAGAGCTGGAGTATGTATTAGTTCTAACACGACTTTACAGTTAAAATGTGAACATGATATAAATTTGTATATAGCTATAGAACCTCCATCCCATGACTATATTTTTTTCGCTTATTATATATACCTGTAAAATTTAATTTTTTATTAATACATATGAAAAATAAATACAAAGTTCAAGACGTAGTTTGTGATACAACTGATATATGATATCTAGGCTAATATATATGATTACAGTTAATTCTTGATATAACGAATTCTTGATATAACGAATTTTTTGAACAAATATAATAAAAATACTCTTGTTATAGCAAATTGGCCAATTAAATCTCTTAAAATCTTCACTAGAGCCTTATAGCAAAGTTGAGGTCTAGGTCATAGAGTTCGTTAAAACAAGAATTAACTGTATTTTTTTGATCAATATCCTTTTGCCCTAGCTTTTTTCTTTGAGAAAGATTCATATTTCGCATTTACCCTATTTACTAACATTTTAACTACTATACCCAAGACATTTTTCATGCCATTATGTAATATTTTTTATTCTTCAGAATTTTTGACCAAGGCCTTTTTGTTGAATTTGATAGCAAGCAGAAGCTTACTTGCCTGAAAAATTTCATCAGACTATGAAGTAGAAAATGCCAATTCTTGACGATGGTCATGATATTATACAGATAATCAAAATCATTATCCTCACGTTTTATTTGTTCCTCCTATTTGTTTTGTAAGAGCTCTCGAGCTGTTTTATATTTTAGACATAACCTTCGAGAATATTATGCTGAACCTTATTCTTAATGACATAAATAAGGTTTTCTGATTCTTAAAAAGCAGGTATAATATTAGTTCATACTTGAAAAATATGAATAAAAAATTTTAAGAAAAAACTCATATACTGTTATTGTATAATCGACCTGATCAGAACTCTCTTCTCTAATTATTTCGAATTCAGGCTCTCATGCTAAATTTCTTACTTATTTCATCTTTTGCAATATGGAGGGCTGTATGTAATATGATCAAAATGTATTCATTGCACATAGACTCTAAGCTATTCACAACTAAAGACTCATAATGCTTCATCCTAAATAAAATATTTTTTATACAATGTCCTAAGTACTTGTTAGAATCTTGAATCTTAGGAGGTTGTAGTGAAAAGAGTGGGATGGTGTCTGTACTATTAGATTTAATGTCATATTTTGCCAGAACTTCTTTCAAACTGCAGTATATTGAAAAGGCCCTAACTTTTTATCCTTACACTTCTTAGCGAACTTCACAAGTCTTATAGCAGGTTCTTTTGCTAAACTATCTTACATATATTTTTCTTTGATTATGTCAAAGAAGTCCCTACTATTAAGCTCTTCCTTTTCTAAAATTTTAATAGCCATTTTATTAAGCCCTAAGTTCTGCTCTTGCAAATATTCTATAAGCTTGGCTATATCATATTTTTTAATTTTATCTACTAGCAAAACTGTTTTATTGTTACTAAAGGTAATAGTGAAAGTTAAAGTATAAGGTATATTAGTTTCAGATATAGCATTACATTTTTATAGGAATATTAGGCTTATACAAAAATAGTGTTACGTTCTGAAGTAAGATAAAATTTTATTTCTATTTGAGAGCCTCCAATCTGATTATTAGCAAGAGTATGCAATAAATATACTAAATTATACTAAATTATACTGAGTGGCCTACCAATATGATAATATTCTAAAGTAATCAGCTAAAGACACTTAGGTAAGGTAGTAAATATGCAGAAATAAGAGCTAAAAGACAAAAACAAGCAAGTTTATGATGATCCACTCAAGCAAAATTATATATAAGAAAAAAAAGAAAAATTTTACTTGAGTGAATCATCGCTGATAGGCAGAAAAGAGATTAAAAAGGCAGAAAGATTTATGAGAATACATGAAAAAAGGTATGAAAGTAATATAGCCTGAACTAATTTGATACTTTGTGCTTCATCCTTAGCAATTAAAAGGGTCACAAAAGGTAGGATTGTAAGAATAGCACAATGCCAGCATTTCGCATATACTTCACCAGTAATTAAAAGGTGAGTAAATAGATTGTAACACATCTTTAGTAAATAGATGGATTGCAAATTTAGCACTTTGCATGTGTCTCATCTGACAATCAAGAAATAGCAATTTTAAAAAGGAAAATATATAGGCTGATCAATATAATGCAAATTATACCTCTGATTTTCTAACCAACTGATCACTAAACTAGGTCCTCAAAAGTTACTTAAAAGTTACTTGAAAGTGATGAAAAAGTGCCTAAAATTAACAAGAAACTAAAACACGTGATTAACGCAATAAAACATAGTAAATTTCTTAGCATCATTAGAAAGCTTTTAATATTCTCATTTAATTGAGCTTAAAATCACATAAATCTAATTGTAAATTTACTGTACTACCTAATCACAATATGATTTTTAGCAATAAATGTTAGCCTAGTATCTTGGTCACAAAAGACCACAGAGTAATGAAAATAAGCGAATAGTTAGAAGAAAATAAAAAGAGGATAGAACAATAAAATCAAGTAAATATCTACAAAGTAATAAAAAAGCTATAGAGCAATGAAATCAAGTGGATAGTAATAAAGTAATAGTAACACTAAAAATAATAACTAGGTAACATTATACTCATAGTTAGATAACATTATATTTATAATTAGATAATATTATAGTGAAACTGGATAATACTCTTATAAGAGTGTTATCCAGTACATACAGTATATTTAATATATTACAAATTAATATTTTAATTATTCTTTTTTTATTTAAATAAATTTTTAATTATTTCAATTAAATGATTTTTTTATTCTTTAATTAGAATAAATTAAACTAAAATTTTCAGTTCAATTCAGATTTTTTTAGTTCAGATTATCTAAAAAATTCTGAACTAATTTAAATTATTAGATTAATTTTTATTTAATTTAAAGTGAATTGAATTTAATCTAAATGAAAAATTCAGTTTAATTTAAATCATTCAGAATCAAATGTTTTTTTAAACTTTATTAATCAATTAATATAATTACTTTAAAATTTCATTTTAAATAAAGTTTTAAATAGTCAGATTTGTTTAAGTTATCTAGTTAATTTAATCTGATAAGTTTTTCAGAATAATTTAAATAAATTGAATAATCTAAAAGATTTTATTTAATATAAGAATGATAATAAATCATTTTTCTTGAACAATAACTTATTAAATAATGATGAATTATTTTTATTTAATAATAAAAATATTCTAATTAAATAATAATAAATTATTACTAGAGTAATAATGAATTATTCTAATTAAATGAGGATGAATTATATTAATTGAATAAGAACTAAAGATAGGTATTACAATTAAAAAAAAGTGTAATTAAGTTATAATTTGTGATATAATTAAATTAAATTTACTTATAGTATAATTAAGTTGTAACTTAATTAAAATTTGAAAGTAATTATGAGAAACATCTTTAATAAATATGAATTATTCTTTTAAAATAATAATGAATTAGATTAGCAGATTAATTGAATCAAATCAAATTGAAAAATTAAAATAATATCAAATCATAAATTTATAATCCAATTTGAATATTTTGGATTAATCTAATGAATCATTTAAATTGATCTGTATTTATTTAAAGCTTTAATTCCAAAATGAAGTTCATTAATAAAAAGAAGAAAATCTAAAATTTTTATTAATTCTAGTTTTTAAGCTAATTTTAAGCACATGACCATGATCAGTCAAGTGGATTAATAAAAAACTTTTATCAAAATTAGATTTCCTTCTTTTCTATTGACTAGTTCACATATATATTTAATTATTTTAGGATAACTTTAAGGATGTATTATTAAGGTTACTAAAAAATGTATCTTTTAAAAAAATCTTTTTAATATTTATATGAACTTTATTTAAGAGTTCTTTATCAATATTTAATAGTTATTTAAAAATTTGAAAGGAATATTAAAACAAATTCTATTAGTAACAATTGGTTAATGCTTTATAAAAAATCATTCAGTTTACTCTTTTATATAAAATCAATTTTTCAATTAGGGCACTGTCAGATATTACCTAATATTATGTTAATATAAGCATCTACCCCCCTCCCTCAGGTAAGATATGTTGCGAAATCACGTGATATGATTTTATATATCTGATAGAGACTCATAAAGTTTTTTTCGATCTGAGTTAAAAATTTCGCTTGA